GTGGGGGGGGTGGTGGAGACCAAGCTGTGAAGACCCAGCTCTGCTGGTGTTCTTGCCTGGCTTGAAGAATTGTCTTCCATCGATCCCCAAGTGGGGACTGGGGGAGGGAAACTATTTTTCAAGATGCTTGTGCATATCAAATACGACTTCCTAGAGGCTCCTTCTAAGCTGCTTCTGCATTTCAAAGAGGGTTTATTTATCCCATTAGTTAAGTCATCACATTTAAGGCAAAGAAGCTTTTTACAGGTGTGGAACTCTTTAGAAAGGGCTTTCTATACATTCCCCAGCATTGAGCTGACAACAAAGTTCCCACATTGCTTGCGATGCTAATTCAAAAGATGCTTTGTTGCTCTAAGGAGAAAAACAAACACTTCAGAAGAGAAGTTCTCACAGAATATTGTAGACCTGGTGTGACTGAACGAAACTAATATTTTCTTTCCTTAGCTGATTCGACTTGGCAATTACAGTTATAACTATTACCACTCAGTGATACTAAGTGCCACCAGTGTCATTGCAATAATCCCGTAGTTCGCCATGTGCCCTCAGTCTCCCATTTCTTAAATCCATCCCACACACTACAGTTAAAGTGATCTCTCTAAATCATATCACATCACTTCTCACTTCTCACTTAAAATTCTTCGAGGACTCGCAGACGGCAGGGCCACCTTTTTAGTATGGCGGAGAAAGCCTTCGGCGCTGGCTCCCGCCATCTTGCCCACCTTCACTCTCCCACAGTCAGTGTGCTTTTTGAGAGAAACCGTGTAAGCCCTATGGTATGGTGCTGTGCGCATAAGCACAGTTTACCAAGCACCAAGCACGGAGTTAGATGTTTTACAGTGCACTTTGATTTCTTAAGGACTCCAAGAAGGAGGCGTCCCTATTTTACAGATGGGAAAACAGAGACCTAGAGAGGTAAATGAACTCGTGTGAAGTCGTCAGCTTCTAAGTGGTGGAGCCCAGAGTCCCTTCTCCTAGGTGGTCTGAGGTCTCAGTCTGTGGGTTTAACCACTACACTACATTGCCTCTCCTGCTGAATTGCTAGTTGTTTCTGTACATCCCATTCATGCTTTTCCATGACGTATGGCTTTTTATGTCCTATTCCCACTTCCTGGAAAGGCCTATCCCATTTGTTCAACTAGCTGGCTCCTTCTGCACTGTAACGTCTCTGCTCACTTGTTAACTTGTCTGGAAAACTTCCAAGGCTCCCCATGGCAGCGGCGTTAAGAAACAATGCCTCTGCAGCTAAAGTGCTGAATGAGTGTGCAGTCGAGCTCTTGTTAAATTGTATTGGGTTTGTTCATATCTCTATTTCCCTGACTAGGCTGTGAGCTCTTTGAGGGCAGAGAATTTTGTCTTTGTATCCCCCATGGCTACCTCGGTGCCTAATACATGACTAATGGTGCTCAATAAATTCTTGTCAAATGGAGTGAATGCAGGAATGAAAGGACAGGGGACTCCTGGCTGGCTCAGTTGGTTAAGTGTCTGCCTTTGGCTCAGGTCATGATCCTGGGGTCCTGGGATGGAGCCCCGAGTCGGGCTCCTTGCTCAGTGGGGAGTCTGCTTCTCCCTCTCCCTCCGCTCCTCCCCCTGCTTGCGCGCGCTCTCTCTCTAATAAATAAATAAATAAATAATCTTAAAAAAAAAAAGAATGGACAGGAGTTAGGGGAATATAATGCATACAAGGTTTGCTTATTCTTAATCACCCTCTGAAAGTCTGTTCTCTGGTGTGAACGTTCCCTGTGAAAGGTTTCTATATCCCTCAGAGTCCTTGAAGATTGTAATGGACACCTTGAGCTATTTTCAGTATTTCAAAAAAGCTAACAGAAACCATTACATTAAGCTGAGATAAGTCCCTGTAGGCTAAAAAATAAAATGTCAAGTTTCTTTGCTTTTGGCTAAAATCGTATCAATTTGATATCGTGATAGGGATTTTCTTTTAATGATCAGAAACTTTGATTGGCAGGAAAGGCTATGGGTGATTAATAAAACAATACGAAAATAAGTTCTCTGTTACTTAAATACTGCTAATTTCGTAGAAGAAATTTCTCAAAGATTGGAATCATAGGGGAAAACTCCTAATGAAATTTATCCGTCGTGGTACAAATATGGGAAAGTCTGTGCTTTTGTTAATGGACTCATGTAGCCCATAACCTTCTTATTTGTACAGAATCTCCTTTCCAGAAAGCTTAGGAAATTATCTTATTATTAGGCATATTTGGCTTCTCTGTTGAACATTTTTTTTAACCTTTCCATTGACAATTGGATGTGAGAGTGATCTGGTTTCTTTATCAGCCATCTGCTGATCATTAAATTTAATATAGCTTATTGAGAACTTACCTTCGCTTAAAAAATTTCATTGTTACCATCTTCCAAAATAAAAGAAAGAAACAATAAAAAGATAAGAGAGCAAAGGAGACAAATGAGTTTTTCTCTCTTTCCTATGGCTTCTGGCCAGTCTGTTTTGGTTATGAAAACAGCCAGCAGGCTACTTTATTGAAATAAAACCCAAATTCCCACTTTGCCAGATATTTCACTGACTTGGTTTAGAAAACACCATTATTATAAATAATTTCATCCCCTCCAGTGAAGGCAAAAGTTCCTTCATTAGTAGTTCTGGCTCTGTCACAAACCTTTCCATGGGCTCATCTGGTCTTATGATTTATTACAAAATTTATAGTGTGTAAAACATTGCCATAACCTTTGGAGTAGTAAACTCATCAAATCTTTTGTAATATCTCCTCAATCCCTTGTACTGTTTGGCTGACACATCTTCCTAGGATTGTAAACATTCTTCCATTTCTTGCTTACCATCATTCATAGATAAGGCTACTCTTTTCTTCATTTCTGGACTCCCAAAGTCATAGTAATCAAGCTACATAGATGATCGCAATCAGGCTTTGAAATTTGCAGCATCGAATTCCATTCTATCCGAAGTGCAGCCATTATGTAACTCCTCACTCTAGTTCATCCTCCACGGAGAAGCTGGAGTTTTTGATTCAAAAGCCAGATTGGATCCCATCAGTCCCCTGATTAGAAATCTTTGAGGGCTCCTCGTGACTGCCATTTTCAACTCCAAATTTCTTGATGTGGTGTTCAAAGGCCCTTGACAATTCGTCTTCAAGGCTAACTTTTCAGCTTCAATTGCCACCAGGGCTAGGGAGGTCCTTTCTCTTCCAACCAATTTGGATACTTGCCTTTCTGCAACATGGCATGACCTTTTATACCTAGAATGGTCTTGCATTCCTGTATAATTTCTTCTTGTCCTCCAGAGCTCTGCTCAAATGTTGTCACTTGTGGGAGTGTTTACTCATTCTTACAGCATATTATCTTTTTTTTTTTTTTTTAAAGATTTGATTTATTTATTTGACAGAGAGAGACACAGCGAGAGAGGGAACACACGCAGGGGGAGTGGGAGAGGGAGAAGCAGGCTTCCCGCTGAGCAGAGAGCCCGATGTGGGGCTCCATCCCAGGACCCTGGGATCATGACCTGAGCCAAAGGCAGATGCCTAACGACTGAGCCACCCAGGTGCCCCCAGCATATTATCTTTTAATTTGTGTTATAATTAGTTCTTTCTGTGTCTTCCTCTTCCATTCCTGTGAGCTCTTGGAGGGCAGGGATCAGATTTTATTTATATTTGGATCTCTAGGGCCAATCACAAGGAAGACTGCAAAACTCTATCAATTTGGAACACTTTTGAGCATGCAAGGGGGGACTGTTAATGATTACCTTGAGGTTACAGGTATAAATGGGGTTTACCTGGGCGATACAGGATATATTTCCACCCTACCAGTCACTTCATGGCTTTCAGTGTCTCCACCTTCACCTACTTTCCAGTTTTATCTCTACCCAGTCTCCTTCCTTGCCACCCCACACAATATGGATGCTTCATTCCAGCCTCGCCAAACCGCCTTGAGTTCCACGATGGTTTCTGCTGTTGCTCTCTTTCTGACATGTACCCACCTGGAAAATTCCTCTTTGCCTTTCAGGATTTTCTTATGCATAATCTTCAGAGAAGCTTCCCCCAATTTTCCCCAGATTGGATTAGGAGATCATTCTGGGATGATTGCCAACAATAAGCTTGTGCTGCTTTGTATTTTACCAATTTGCTTGCTTATTTTCTTGCCTTGCATAGCCAGGGTAAGTTGAGCTCTGTGAGGCAATGACTGTGTCCTATTCATCTCTGATTTCTAGTCACTCTGTGCGATTGTGATAAATGTCAATGGGATTAAGCATAATTTTGGAATTGCCATAGCTTTTAGGTGGAAAATTCATGAAACTTTTTGTAACATCCCCCTTTACTATTTATTTAACATGTACAAGTTTGAAATTGTTTTTACATTCTGATAAATGTCACACTACTGTTTGTTGAAATTAATACATCTGACACTAAATGCCAAATTATGATTTTATTTGAAATGTAACTGATCTTTGGGTTTTTGGGTCACCATTTTTTAATAGCCCCTGGACCTAAAATCTTCTAACTAGCATTCTGGCTTTGAAAAATTTTGAGGGGATGTCCAGGATTAATTTTTTTTGAAGAGTGTCAGTCGCACATGAAATATCTTGGGAACTTGGGGGAAAATTCTGTGTTCGTATGTGACTCAATTAGAAAACAAAGTAAAATTTCTTCTTACCTCATAATTATTCTGTATCTTCTTGGCTCAAATGTAGCCAGTCTTCCTAAATCGTCAGCACCTGAAGGACTGAAATTTCAGAGCGAGCACTGGAAGTGGGATGAAAGCAGGAACTATCTATTTCCCATCAGAACTTATGAATCACATCCCTACACCTTTTTTGCTGGTGTAGGTAGATGCTTTTTTTTTTTCTCTCTCTTTTCAGTTTATTGCATGAAGGAGTTACACTAGTCCAAGTTAAAAGCAGACCCTAAATGGTTACATTATACAAGCTGTGAGGTTTTTAAACTTGTGACAAGGGACAGAAGGGAAATTCTACTCATTGCAAGGAAATCCTCACTTAAGCTTCAATGAGCCAAAAGCACTTAAAACCCATGAACCTTCAGCTGGTTGTTCTTAGCCAGTCCAATCTCTACCAGGAACTGGCATATGTTCTTGCGCTGGTCACCCTGTAGCTGAATTACTTCTCCATACTCTGAATGCTCAATTACAGTACCATTGCAGGCAAATTTCTTCTTAAACGCCTTCACTAGTTTCTTTTTATCGTAATCATCAGCGATCCCTTGGACAGTAGTAAGGGTCTTCCTGCCGTTTCTCTGTTGAATTCTTATATGGATATAATCCTCAGTGCCAGCAGGAAGCAGATCATCACCCTTACTTGCGTCAGCAAAGGGGTCGAAAGAGTGGAGGTTCTGGAGAGCGGACAGACGATACGATTCCTTTTCCTCGGTGGAAACGGCCTGCGGAAGGCGGCCGCGGGAGAAGGCGGGCGGGGGGGACGGAGCGTCGGGAAGCGAGGGGGCTCAAGGGGGAAGCTGCTGAAAATCATCTACTTCTTCCTCTTCTCTCACTTCGGTCTACAGCCAGGAAGTGACACCAGTGGCAGACAAACAGCAAAAGCAGGTCTGATGTGCTACCAGACCCAGAAGAAAGGGTACTTAGAGAGCAGTGGATGGGTTTGTCCCATTTCCTCCTCTCGGCCTGTGGTTTCTCTCATCCTTGGGAGCACTCATTGAATGAGCAAGAAGAATCCCTGAAATGGGTCACAATTTTTGGGCACCTAGCCCTGTGTCTGTCACACTCTGACCTGCTCACAAATATTGAATGAAAAAGGCATGGAGGCATGCTTGGCAATTGTTGTCATGAATTACATCTGGTTGAGGTTTTTGGAGATCACAAATTTTGGCCAAAAGGTGAGGAGAGGAGGAAAGAGAAGGGAAAAACGTGTCAAGGTAATGCACCTGAAGAGAATGAATATTGACTTGAAGAGAAGTTTCTGGAATTTTAGTTTATAATTGCTTTTATCTAGTCCCTCAGATTCTTCCAGATGCTTCTTCTGCTCCTTCCCCTTGCACCCTGCTCTTTTGTACAGTTTATTCAGGAAATACTTGAAAAAAAAAATGCTCCTGTGTCTAGGGCATCACCAGAGGCTCTGGGAAAACAGATGAAAAGATAGGCCCCCTGCCCGCTAGCTCAGAGCCTCTGTTCTGTTTATCCAGACACCTGGACCTGGTTAGAGATATCCTTCATTTCAGGCCTTGCCTCAGTGCACGTGGCTTCAGTGCGGGTTATCTTGGCTGCCCTGGATGTTTTATGAGCTTCTTTATACCAAATAACAGTGATGATCCCACAAGGCCCAATTAGTTGAGAGGTTAGTATGTCCTAGGTGCTGTGATAAACACTGTACAAATATTATTTCACTTAATTCTCATGTCAACCTGAGGTAAAGATTATATTTAGATGACAAACCTAAGGTTAAGAGAGGCTGAGTTGCGTGAAGGCATGAAGTCACCAGCTGGTAAGCGTGCTGATGGTGGGCCCCTGAAGGCAGCTCCTCAGCTGTCACCCTCTTCAGCATGAATCTTCTGCCGGTGTCTGGCAGAAAGGATTAGAACTTTCCCCAGCCCTTTGCCTCTGAATTTATAACTTGTTCCTTACTGAAAACCTCAAATCTCAGATCAGAAGAGTGAAGATCCCTTTTCTGATTACTCTGAATAGGTGAAGCAGCACCACCAAGAATTACTGTTGTAAGGACCCGTTCTATTCCCAGGTCCCTAGGCACTCCCTTCCATTGTACAGCCATCGTTGGCTGGATGCAGGCATTCCATTGTACCCAGCTGACTGCTCTGCTCAGGGCCCTTAACAAAGTCAAAAACGTAGCTTCCCCTGCCCCGCCCCCCGCCCTGCCCCCATCCGCCCAGGGCAACTGGACAAACATACGTGACTGAATTAGGGGGGGTGGTAGCCAGCCTTCAACGGAAATCCCATAAGAGTTAGTATAGAAACAGACTTCTATTATACAGTCTCAGATAGAAACGAGGTAATGTAGGTTTTGGCAGGAAATTATTATTTTTGACTGATTCTCAAACCCACAGTTTATGCCAAAATTCATTTCCCCACCCCCAACCTACTCCACTTGCTTTTACAAGAACTTTGGACACCCAGAATTATTTTGGAAATTTGGGGAATATTCTGTGTTACTATGCGCAATAGGTTCCTGGGAAATTACTTCAAAGTGTAACTCAAACACAGAACAAGTTTTAGTTGGATGTCAAACAACCTCCTCAATCAATGCACATCATGATGCCTGCTTGCTATTTTTCAAAGATCTCAACATCTAACCATCTAACAGTATTTAGATAACAAACAACTGAACAGTGCTTATAATAGCAATGTCTGCTCATTCTCAGATAATGCTTCATGCTGAGATTTTTGAAAAGGTGCTATGGATATGGTGCTTTTAGGTTCTAGGTCATAGGTTCAAATGCAACCCAGATTAGTGACTATCATGTAATACTGATCTTTGTAAAATGAACCATGGTTCTAACTCAAAATCTAAGATGTGGTTAGATATATTTTAAATATGGCTACCACCTCTGATACCTCGGCAGAGATACTATTTGTAGTGAGCTGGGGTAAAATGCACATTAAATGTTAATCTTGAAAAAATAAAAGTGTTCAAATTTTATTAGACCAAATCATCTTAAGAGACACACACACACACACGATAGTTTCTTTTTGCTTTTACAATTGCATGTGCTGATGAGAAATGTTTCACTCAGATGAGACTATCACCAACTGCATAATTTTTATGATCTACATAATTTTGGAGACTGTAATTTAATATTTTCTATATGTAAAGAACCATTGTGACTGTTTAATTGGGTTTTATATGTTAATATTTACTTTTCCCACTAAGAATTTATAAAATATTTTCCCCTTAATAGGTTATTATTTTCTCACGAAATTTTCTCTCCTTAAAAATAGTTTTCTAAGATAGAAGGCAACATTTCTTTCTTTCTTTCTTTTTATTTTTAAAGATTTTATTTATTTGAGAGAGAGAGGAAGAGAGAGCGAGCAAGCGAGCATGAGCAGGAGAGCCAGAGGGAGATGCAGAATCTCTGCTCCCCAGGGAGCCCGACACCTCTCGGTCCCAGGACCCTGGGATCATGACCTGAGCTGAAGGCAGCCGCTTAAGCCACTGAGCCACCCAGGTGCCCCTAGAAGGCAACTTTTCTAGATGAAAATCAAAAACATTCTCGTTAATCATTCCTTCATTCATGAAGCGGATGTGAACTTTGTCCCTACCATGAGCATATACTAGCTGAGTTGGGTGCTATAGGAGGATACAACACAATGTAACACATAATCCTCACCATCGAAGAGTTTTCAGTTGAGGGAATACAGTGCAGACACACGGTATATGTTAAGGGGGATGGAAGAGTATCTGAGATGTCACATGGCTGTATGTGACTATGTATTAAATGGATGCCATTGATGATAGTACATAAAGCTCTGAATTCCTAGGAAGGAGAAATTGCTGTGGCAAAGAGAGGTTAGATGAGCTCTAGGAGAGGTGGGGTTGGTATCCGGCCTTGAAAGGTAGGAAGTTCTTAGGAGGTTGACAAAAGGTAGTTACTATGCATGCAGATCAGGGCCCAAGGTTTGAGCAAAAACCCAGTGATGGGAGTGAGCCAAGTGTAATTTTAAAGAATCAGGGTGCATTCTACTCAGACATGGCAAAGGGCTTGGGTGTTGTGTAGTGTCTTTGGGGCTCAAGATTACCTGTGAAGACTATTCCCAAAACAACATGACAAAGCATGTGAACGGTGTGGTGCTGGGACCCGGAGAACCATGGGTGGGAGGTGGAGCTTGAGTCGCCATCTGGTTTCATAAGGAGAAGTGATGGTCCCCAAACATGGTGAACAGGTCTTCCCCTTCTTTCCGTCCCACCACTTTCCTTTTAAATAAAAGGGGGGAAGACAGATAAATGGGAAACACCATTTTTGCTTTTGTTTTTACTCTCACATGGTTAGTCTAATCTTCTGTTTACTTATAAAGCTGTTCCCAAATTCAGAGAAAGGCCCATCCTTTGAAGTTTTTAGTGATGGACGTCTGATTCCAGTTGCAACGCTCTCTGGTTTTCCACGGCTTTTTTTGCTAGGAGGGTTTTCTAATATCATTAAAACTGACTTCCTTCCATCTTTCTTCCTCTCCCTAGGCTTGAAAATGGTTAAGTCCCTTCCTCAACATTTTCTGGGCTAAATAGCTTTATTATTTTAGTTATATTCTCTAAGGGCTGTTTCTCAAACTTGTAATCAAGAAGAAAAACTTGATTTCTTCTTAAATGCCTCACATTCTCCGTAATCCACTGTAAAAATGCGGGGCTAAAGACACTACAGAATACTCCAGGATACTGAACATCAAGAAAAGTCCTCTTGTTTTTCTTTTACTAAATCAGTCATGCTTTTAAGGCTAAAGCAGAAACACCAATAGTTTGTGTTGACTGTGACCTCCCGATCGTTTTCTTTATGACATCACAAAATGAATCCTACAATTGTATGGTTTGTTTTTCTTCCCATGTGAGTTACACTATAGAACCTCAATCTGTTTATGTCCACCCACTTCTCCAGCTCATCAAGATCATTTGCACTTCTATCCAGTTTTCCAAAGTGGAATGTACCACACCCGGTTTGATGTCATCCCTGAACTTAATAACCATATTCTCTACCACCATCTAAGTCACTACTAAAAATAGCATCAGGTAAAGACCAATCCCTTTGGAATCCCATGAGGTATGCATCTCCGGGCTGACACTGAACCATTAATAATTACTTACTGAGAAAGGCCTTCTAAACACTTATGAGTCCACCTGATGAGAAGATAATTTCAGGATGTAGTTCTTTAATTGCCCAATGTCAAGAAAGAAAAATCTGAAAACTGTCCAACTATCTCATATCTTTGCCTTCTACTTGGTTTCACCAATCTTGTCATGCTTCTGAGGAACAGCATTTGACTGATGTGTTAGGATTTCTTTTTTGAACAAAGCTGCCTTGCTTTTACCCGGCATGCCCCTAGGTGTATTACGTGCATGTGTGTGTGCGCGCGTGCGCGTGTGCGTGTGCGTGTGCATGTGTGTGTGTGTATGTGTTGATAAGATTGTAATGTATTTCTGGATCTGAATGTTAAGGTGTTGAGTCTGGTTTTTTGAGTTTTCCCTATTTCTCTTTTTAAAGCACAAGTGTGCATTTCTTTTTTTCAGTCCACAGACACCTCACCTTAAGTTTGCAAAGATAATTGCTAGCGATTCTGTGATGACTTCATTGAAATGCCATGCCATGGTGTTTGCCAGTAATTGTTTATTCACTCTGCCATCTGAGCTTGCAGGTCATGCATTAGCATATGCATTTGTATATAATAATGATTTTCAATTTATTGAGTAGAGTCATCAGCTGAAGCACTGTAAAAACACAAGGATAAAAGCAATTCCTACCTCACATGTTTGTCACTTAACTGGGATAG